ATTAGAATGAAAGTTTGTAGATATTACAATGATACGTTCTCCTGTGCTTTTCCAGTACAACCCCTTTCTAAATGTTTTGACATTTTTTTTGAATTTTTTTAACTTTATTTGTAACATTATTTAGGAGATCTTGTTTGAAGGAAATGTTAAGTAGCAAAAGAAATAGTTTATAGATAAAAGCAAGCTTTTCCCATACTTTTTTCTATGACAGGATAAATTCCACACAGAATCGTATATAGAATAAATCGAATGAAATAAATAGATGCATTTTAAGAGTTTTATTATTTTGTAATTATTTTGTGTCCGTGAATAATAAATATCACAATATATGTAAAGATCAAACCAAATTTATGCTCAGATTTTAGTGTATTTTTTATGTTTGGTGCTTTGTGTATGACCTAATTTATAAGTTATTTATGATTTATTAGTATGTTGGATATGTTTGTTTTATCTGGAATTAATAAGTCAGTCCTTCTTCATGGTCTGCTGTATTTTTACGCGTATCCCATTTGCCGTTGAATAATAACTACCTGTATCCTTATTGTTATACAATGACAACTCATCTTTGCCAGGAGAGGGTGGTGTGCTGAGATCGAACTGTCGGGTGACGAAGGTTAGAGAGAAATATGATCCGATTCCCAATTCATCTAGACAGTATCAGATTGGAGTGTGTAGCCTATCAGAAAAGTATTATTGATAGCCTATACTACAAGTCATAAAATTGCATCTTGAAACCACTGAACTCGTTTTTTTTTAAATAGCATTTTATTGTATTTTATGTTTTATTTTATTTTATTTTATTTCATTTTATTTTATTTTATTATTTTATTTTATTTTCAGTATAGTTAGTTTAATTGTTAGGCTATGTTATGTTGTGTAGAATGCGTTGAATTGTATTCTCAGTCTACGTTTGAAAAAAAAAAAAAAAAGATTTTCTGTTGTAACAAACAAACAAATAAACAAACAAACCACTGAGCCCATTTTCACACAGTTTATATGTGCATCTTGACACTGAAAATCGACATTAGCCAGTCATCTTTATCATCACAGTTGATAAAGCAACGACAATTCTTCCTACAGAGAAAAGTAGCGCGGATCCACCAGTCGTGAGTCTCATGCACAAAATGTAATAATGCAAATAAGGCCAAATGGTTTGCCACTGTGCTATTCGTACTGTATCTTTATAAAAGTTCACAATGTTGATGCAGTTTAAATACAACATAACATGGACAGCATTAAATAAATATTTTAATTACGTAATTATCGGTGTCTTCGACTTTACAACAAGTAGGGGAGCGCGGGGCACAAAGTAACGCGGGGTTAGTTGTAACACACATGGTTTGAATATTTCCACACATGCTAGCATAACAAAATTGACAGTATTTATTAGTTACCATATCAGCATTATATAGAAAAAAAGTGTGCCAAAATTCAATGTACTAGACAAGTGTAAAATTACTGTCGATAAAAAAAAATTATATTCTGAACCCCATGTGGATTTACACAAACTGAGAAAGTCAAAAAGTGTTACAACGTGCCCCACTCTCCCCTAGGTTTTCTTATTTGCATCATTCAAACAGAAAGCGTATAGTATAGGCTATTCAATTTGACAGCGTATACGCGAATATCTATTTCCAAAGCGCCCATCATTGGGTGAAGAGGGTGTGACTGTGGGTCTCATCGCAACACAGTTGAAGGGAAGCATTGCCAAAACAAAACCACTACATTTCTGGTAAGTGACCTCTTTATTAAGAGTTTCAGTTTGTATTGGTGAACGAGGAAATATGAAAATATGATTTACTTTGCTTTCTTTGTTTACTTTAAGTAGGCTACAGTAGCCTATTTTGTTTGTAAGGTTGTGAATAAAAAAATATGAAAATAGCCTATGATTTCATAGCCGATGAGTTCAGTACACTCTAAAAAAAAAAATGGTGCTATATAGCACCTTAACCACTCCAAAGAACCGCTGAAGAACCTTTTTTTTTTTTTGTGTAGTTGTGGCATAAATGGGCACTAAATCACAATCTACACCTGTCTAAATATTTGACAGTTGCGCCGTTAAAAATTAGACTGAACCCAACTACTCAGTTATTATTGACGCTGCCATATAGTACCTTTTATGACATGATGACGCTTGTTGCGTCCGTATCCATTGCGTTGATCCCATTAAATGACTAACAAAATCTAAACCATGACAACCCTTACCAAAAAGAAGTATACTTCAAGTTTTCTCAGTTAGTCTAACACAGTACACGTAGCAAGTTTTTTTTATATAATTATAGAAAACAAATAGATAGAATAGAGAAAACTAGTTAGAGGCTTTTTTTGAAAGTATATAATTAGTAAACTATCAGTATACCTATAAGTTCACTTTTAGTTGCAGTACAAACTAAAAACATAGATGTAAACTAGTTGTGTACTCAAAGTTTACTACCGTTATACTTAAAGTATACTTAAAAGAATACTTTTATATACTAGAAAGTGGGCCAATTTAGTCCCAAGGAGTATTGAAATAGTACACTTACAAGTATACTACTAGTACACTGATATATACTTACTACATAAAGTATACTTAAAATATACCTGAACTTTACTTAAGTATACTAAATAAAATAAACTTGAAGTATACTTCTTTTTGGTAAGGGAACTGCGACATTAGTAGCCTATGTCGTGTAGCCTACATCTAATTGCTGGAACTAAATGAAGCAACTGATTAAATGGAAATCTAACGTTACATATGAAAAACAGTTAATCTAGCCCCCATGTTGTTTTGTGTTTTGCGCATATAATACTGTAGAGTGTGTGAGAACTGATTTAAAAATAAAAGCGTCCTTCGCTGAACGTGATTTCATATTAATTTATTCAGTCAGTCTGTCAATCAAAAAAATAAATAAATAAATAAAATAAAATTTCAGGGGTCTGAGCGCGGTTCGCGTGATTTTTGGCCCTCATGTGAACACTCCAGACCCCTCAGAAGCGAACCGAACCGAGACCATCACGGGAGGTGGTCTGAGTAGCTTCGCTTTAAAAACGTGCATTGAGATCACAAATCGGCCCGGGCTCACTTGATTTTTCCATTCACGAATTCCGATGTAGTTTGGTCATCAGATGTCTCTGTACAAATCAGCTGTACAAATCAAAGGTGTAACTACAAAATGTTTTTTGCAAAAGATAAACTTAATATAGGAATAGGAATATTCCATGTTCAAAGGAAAGCTCATTCAAATTAAACCAGTTCAAACCAGCAGCCATGCTTCAAGACATACCTAACCAGCATATGCTGTTTTTTTTTTCAACAGGGTGATGTAAAGTTCACTTATAGAAAACTTACGAGTATACTTGCAGCATAAAACTACTAAACTAGAAGTTTACTGAGACTATACTTCAAAGTGTACTAAAAATGCTTCAAGTATTACATTTACATTTAGTCATTTAGCAGACACTTTTATCGAAAGCGACTTACACATGAGGACAATGGAAGGAAGCAATCAAAACCAACAAAAGAGCAATGATACGCAAGTGCTATAACAATTCTCAGTTAGTCTAACACAGTACACGTAGCAAGTTTTTTTTATATAATTATAGAAAACAAATAGATAGAATAGAGAAAACTAGTTAGAGGCTTTTTTTGAAAGTATATAATTAGTAAACTATCAGTATACCTATAAGTTCACTTTTAGTTGCAGTACAAACTAAAAACATAGATGTAAACTAGTTGTGTACTCAAAGTTTACTACCGTTATACTTAAAGTATACTTAAAAGTATACTTTTATATACTAGAAAGTGGGCCAATTTAGTCCCAAGGAGTATTCCATGTTCAAAGGAAAGCTCATTCAAAAGTATTTGTAGCAATGTTGTTTTACAAAATAATAATACTAACAACAACAATAACAATAATCTTTACAAACGAACCTCTTGGTTTGTGAGGCATATATATTGTAAGTGAATGGGATCAAATTTTGGAGGCATAGGGTCAGCCACAGTATTTGTAGCAATGTTGTTTTACAAAATAATAATACTAACAACAACAACAATAATCTTTACAAACGAACCTCTTGGTTTGTGAGGCATATATATTGTAAGTGAATGGGATCAAATTTTGGAGGCATAGGGTCAGCCATCAAACACTGAATTGGACTAGATCCAAAAAGCAACAGTCTGAACATAAAGAGGTCCGAGACACCATTGCTGCTTAAGTGGATCAAAAAAGGATCTGAGTCCTCTTTCAGGAACAGGGACAGTTTAAAGGTAAAGAAAACTGGGTCCTTTTTCACTTGGTCCACATAAAGAGGTCTGGGTTCGGTTCTTTTAAAGAGGACTCAAGTGTGAAAACACCCTAAATAAATAAATAAATATTTTACAATACTAAAAAAACAAAGGCTGCAAACTTTATAACTTAATAAAGCATGTATTTCCTAATGCCCACTACTACTCAGTCAGCAAAATCATTGTAAACATGTTCAGCCTTTTAGCGTTATTTGAGAAAATTACTGTATTGACAGTTACAAAAGTGATAACATACTGTGTGCAGAGTCACAGAGTCTATATATTCATTAATGTCATTTCCTCCTGCATCATGGAACATTTCACAGTTTGTATATTCAAAGTAGAAGTCTGGAAATGTCATCCTTGCTCATTTTGTGGACTGGTTTGACAACCCGTTTTTCCTGTGTGTATGTGACGTGTTGTTGTTGTTGTTGTTTTTAATTAACATGCTTATATTATTTAGAAGCAACTTTATTCATGTTAAGTCATTAAAATACCCATGAAAAATAAACGCAGCCTCAAGGTGTGCTTAATCCATTGATAGCAAGGGTGTCTAATCCTGCTCCTGGAGAGCTGTTTTCCTGCAGAGTTTAGCCCAAAGTATACTTTAGTTTTGACACCAATGCTTAGCCAATGAGCACAGCCAAATGCACAGCCTTTCAAATATACTCCATTTCACAGTATGCATGTACACAAGCAAGGCCAGGAAGGCCATCCCAGAGTACACTTTCACAACACGGAGCCACCCAAGGTGGCCATCCCTGCCTGTTCTGTCATGGCCAGAGTGCCGTCTCTGAGTTTCAATGTCTCTTCTCGACCATGATTTCCATCTCTGCTGCTGTGGTTACCTGATCCCTCAGCTCTGTCTTGGTGCTCTCCAGCCACTGTGGTCTCCTGCTCTGCCATGGCTTTGTGATTCCCAGTGGTCTTCTGCTTCGCTGTGTTACCCTGATACTCCTGGGTCTCTTGCTACACCTTGGTCTCTTGTTCCATCAACATTCCCCATGGTCTCCTGTTGCACCTGTGCGAGAGCTATAAGCATTAAAGGGGTCATATGATGCAATTTCATTTTTTCCTTTCTCTTTGGAGTGTTACAAGCTCTTGGTGCATAAAGAAGATCTGTAAAGTTGCAAAGACTAAAGTCTCAAATCCAAAGAGATATTCTTCCTGATGCTCTGCTCACATATTTAAATAAGATATGCCTTCTTGCTTTTCATATTCTGTCATACTAATCACTGACTAAATTTGTTAATTTATCAATTATTTAATTAACTAGAGGCAATTTATTTATTGTCTGCTAATTTCACTTCAAATTGAATTCACAACTTTCAGGATTAACATCAATAAGCACATCTCAGTTCAGTTATATCAAACTCCAGTGAAAAATGAAAGCAAACTGTGCTGGTTAATTATTTAATTATTATGATAAGAAAGATTTCTGAGAGCTAACTGAAAATTAATAGCACCCTAACCCTAACCCTAACAAATAGGCTAAGCAACCAGCTAAGCAGTAAAGTTGGACTGGTGCAAGAAGTGTCTAATATGGGTCATTTATTTATTTTATTTATTTATTTTGCAGATGACTATGAGAAGATGGAGTTGAAAGAGATTCCTGTTGATGGTATTATCCGGCCGTTAAACCGCAATGAGGTTCTAGGTCTGATCTTCCGCCTTACAGCATTTGGTGCAGTCACCTATTTTACAATAGAGTGGATGGCTGATGCTATTGATCCAACAAGAAAACAGAAAGCTGAAGCACAAAAACAGGTATGCATTTT